TTACCTTGCAATCCACCATGAATACCATTGGTCCGCCTGTGTGCATGTTGAAAGCCACAAATTTCTTTTCCACTGGTTCGTAGTCAGGGAAGTGCATTTGGATGAATTTCCTATTCACATCAGCACCATCAAGAATGGTCCAGTAAATGCTGTTAGCAGAAGAAAACAAATTTTTTGTTTAAAGGATTTCTTTATTCAGAATTTTAGTAACAAATATTCAGTGTTCTGTGTTACGCAAGATGATGTGGATATCCCTTTGATTCATGAAGACAGAGGGCAAATTGGCTTAGTGTTAAAGCATTGTACAAAACAGTTTTATAAACTGATTTTAGATATACATAAGGATAGATTACTTGAATTTTTTGTAATTGATGAATCAATACAAAGCAGTGCTGCTTTTGACAATAATTTTGCAAGTGATTTGTGATTGATTAAAAATCGTTTTTTTACTTGTGAGAAAGCAGTGTTTACAGTTTCAAATTTATTTGCATTTGAGGTAACTCAGGGGCAGCTAATGACTATAGTTTTAATATTATTTTATTTGACTTACGCAAAAGAGTATTCTTTCATCATCCGTACACCTTTCCAAAACTAAAAGAAAACATCACTGGGAGTGCAGTCATGGCTTGGGAATTGTGCTACTGGGAATCTAAAACCACAGTCGCTGACAAAGAGGAACTGTAAGACATGCGATGCCAGTGTGAATTCCTTCTTACCTAATGATATGTAATATACATAAATTATATAAATATGTATAAATGCCATTTATTGTAAAAGCAGAATGTTGCACAAGGTTTATAAGAACTTGTTATGTAAAGCTTGTTCTCTTTATTTTGGGGTATGATAATGAGTTTCAGACACAGGAGAATAACATTTAAGGGAGAAATACAAAGCACCAAAAAATGTGACACTTGTAGGGAAATGAAAATAAAATGGATGACTCAATTTCAGAAAACGTGCAAAGGGTGCAAATAGTTTTCCATAAAAGCCATGGGAAACAGTGTCTACCTTCTAAGGCACGCATATCATCATGTAAGGGACTAAGATCAACATAACCAACAAGACGGTGCTTTCCTCCTTTCACAACCATCTCCAGATTTTCCTGTTAGAGGTGGATAACATAAGACCATGTTTCAGATTGTTTATATATTCAAAGGAGTATTTCTAAGTTATCCTAAAAAGGTTTACAAAGCTACTGTACTTTTTTGAGAGGGAGGTTTTATGTGTGTGTGTGTGTTTGTGTAGATAAGTGTGTTGAGGTGCCAAGTGAGGGACGAGGCTTGATGGTAGTGAGAATTTTTCAAATCACATCTAATGAGAGTTGAGACAGTCAAAATATGAATTAGTTACCTTTTTGATTAATGATAGGGAAAAATTTTACAAGAAACAGGGTTTGTAGAGTCATGTTTGTTATATGGATTGCAAATCTGAGTTAACCATCACCATATAAATGAGCCTGCTTACCTCAACCTTCATCTCGTCAATGACAAAGCCACCCCAGTAGTCACAGTCTTTCAAATTTTTGTCTTCTGCTGCCTGTTTGCACCACTCAACAATCTCCGTGTTCCAGCCTGGTTTTTGCTCTCGTTTGTTTTTTTCAACATTTAGCAACCAACCTGATTGTTCGATTACTTGGCAAGCGGATGAAGTTGCGAAGAGGGTCCAGCACATGAGGGTTTTTACAATATAATTGTATACACAACTGCACGATCCTATAAAATGAAGAAAGTTGTCAGTAAAATAGACACCATGATTAGTTTCCAGAATAGATAAGCAGTTTAGCTGTAAAGTAAATCAGTTGGCTTGGATTGATCAATACTCCAGTCATGAATTGTATGACACTAAGTCTTATTACCAGTTACTTTAATCAGTTTTTCTTTACCAGTCTAAGCTGAAAAGCTTGAAGGGGCACTATTTTGTTCATTGATTTTGATTGGTTGTCATGTGCTATGTAGTTAAATTTTCATCAGCTAGTGA